ACCCCCCCAGATTCCCCCCCCCCCCCCCCAAATAAAGCCCTACTCTGGCACTCTGGCAAGCTACAAATCAGTGACATCTTTAAGACCAACGAAGTTTTATTCAAGGTCTTGTTTGTTGCTATTTATTTGTTGTCCTTAAAGGTGCCAGAGTTGCCCACCTGGATCAAGCTACAAATCAGGAAGGGATTCGACATACTCAGAGCAGCCGCTGACTGCACGAAGCCAGGAGAGGCATTAGCAAAGCAGCAACAAAGGCCCATAAAAGGTCACTTCCAGGGAGGATAAACAAACTGGCCTTATTTAAAAAGGTGAAATAAGACTGATTTCCACTTTCAGTTGCTTAATCCATAGCAAGGGGTCAGGCCTGGCCCAAGCATGAAAGTTTTTAAAGAAATCCCATCCAACAAGGTATTAGGCATTAGAAATCCTTATTGAGGCAAATAAGAGTGACTGTGTAACAGCTTGAGACATTTTGCAGCGTTTGTGAACATTTGGCCAAACAGTTTGTTAGAAATGCTACACGCTGTACCAGATAACGAGCTAAAAGATATTGCCAAGTCAAACCTAATGACAGGAAGCAGCAGGACTCGGTCTGCAGCGCAAGAGATCATTAGATCATTGTTATTAGACATACCATTTATATATCCCAGTAAAGCAGCTATTTTTAGTGAACTGTATATAACAAAGCTGCAAACCTTAACAGGTATTAGACTGCTTGTTCAAGATTCAGGCACAGGAGGGTCCCAGCAATAAGATAAAAACAGGAAGAAGTCAGTCTGGCAAATGGGAAAGCAGGCTCTATGGCTTACAACCCAGAGTCCCTCTAAGCTGAGTTAGTGTGAGCTAGCTCACAGTTTTTTAGCCTCCAGCTCACACATTTTTGTCTTAGCTCAGGAAAGATGGCTCCAGAGCAAACTAATTTTATGCAGCAGCCAAACTACCTGCTCACAACTTTAATGCCAGTAGCTCACAAAGTAGAATTTCTGCTCACAGGACTTCACAGCTTAGAGGGAACATTGCTTACAACCCAGAATAAGAGCCAGAGACTTCATTCTGAAAGCAAGCATTTCCATCTTCTTCTTCTTCTTCTTCAGTGTTTTATTTGCATTTGTGTGTGTCCGTTAGGGTTGCCAAACCCCTACTGGGGATGGGAGAACCCCTGCTTTTGTGGGATGCTTCCCCACTGGCCCAGCGGTGGGAAATCCCACCCCAACTGGCCAGAAGGATGATGCTATCATGTCACCTGGAAATGATGTCATCACATCACTGACATCACGTGGTGATACTCTTTTGGGGGGCAAAATTCTATGGTAAAATCAGCTACAAACCAAAAAGTTTTGCCCCCTGATGTCGGCGATGTGATGTTGTTGTGCCGCACATGCAGCAGAATCCCAACAAGGGCCCAGGATTCCTCCGCTGGCTGCCAGATAGGACCTGGCAACCCTAGTGTCCATGCCTGGATGTCATGGTGACCTCAGGCAACTCCTACTGGGGCATGGAGGACATTCAGAGAAGTGGCTTGATAGCCTGCCTCTGCCTCCCAGCCCTGATATTCTTTGGAGGTCTCCCATCCAAATACTTACCAGGGTCGGCCCTGCTCAGCTTCTGAGATCTGATGAGATCGGGCTTGCCTGGGCCATCCAGGTCAGGGCTCCCTCTTCAGTGCATTAGCTGCAACCTTTTGATTTTCCTACCTGCAGCTCAACCTACTACTGTCATCAAAATCCAGCATAGTGACTATTCTAACTTGCCCCAATCCTTGCAGTCTAATGTGCACCTCCCTATTAAAATGTCTCTTAACTTCCATGGTGACACACCACACACTAACAACTGCCTGGCTGTTCAGCAGCAGATAAGTGGAATCACCACCTTCCAAGGCTTCCAAAAGAGAGCGGCTACCTCAGCAGCAAGAATACAGCCAGCATCTAAACTGGACAAAACTCCTAAGAACCACTTCACATCTGATGACTCATAGGGATTTGTTACCATGTTCTGTCCAAGTACCAGTGGCACGGGACTTGTTACTGACATGCCAAGCACAGAGTCTGGAGAGATCATAACTAAGCTTAACCTCCATCTTCCAGGTGAAGTGGTGTCTACACACAGGTAGAGAAGAGGCTTCTACAAAATCAGGAACCCTGGCACATTTGCAGAAAAATCCTAAATGATCCCAACT